CTCACGTAGCCCGACTGTGCATAAAAACACCCCGTTTTTGAAGGAAATCACAGGGGCTGATGTAAAAAATATAATCTTAGGGTTAAGAGGTTCTAAGGCTATAGGGATGCATATGATTTAGACACCAACTTTATAAAGACACATATCGACGGTCTAATAAAACCAATTACTATGCTAGTGAATCAATCTATTAGCAAGAGGGAAGTCCCATCATCCTGGAAGGTGGCCACAGTGACACCGATTTTTAAATCTGGGAATAAGGCAATGATATCCAATTATAGACCTATCAGCATCCTCCCCTGTGTCTCTAAGATATCTGAGAAATTGGTGTCAAAACTAATCACCAAACATTTAGATAAAGGTTTCGCTCCACTCCACCCAATGCAGTTTGGTTTTCGTGCTCACCACTCCACTGAGACAGCTAACTGTGTCTTTGTGGAAAAGGTTAAATGTATGTTGGACACGAGCCCATATGTAGGTGCTATCTTCCTTGATCTCAGGAAGCCATTTGACACTGTTGACCACAAAGTGCTCCTTACAAAGCTTACTTATTTCAATTTTTCTGCAGTTTCTATACATTGGCTCAAGTACTTATCGAACAGAAAACAGTGTGTTCGGGTCAACGGTGCAAAATCGCCCTACCTTGTCAACCCTGTTGGGGTTCCATTCTTGGACCGTTACTTTTTTCACTGTACATTAATGACTTGTATTAGGTAAACATACCAAAACATCGGGTATGTCCTGAGTTGAATGTGCAAATGTATGCCGATGATGCGGTCATCTTTATACATGGGAAAAATACAGAAATAATCTCATCTCTCAATCTCAATGCTTTGGACAAGGTTCAACACTGGCTGAACAAGATTTCCTTATAGAGTTAAACGTCAAAAAAACAGTATCCATGATGTTCAGTAAACGACCAGTGAAAATCGAAGGATCCAATGTGTTTTTAAACGGAGAAGAAATGGAACTAGTCTCCCTGTTCAAGTATCTTGGAGTCATATTGGGCTCAAATTTGAATTTTAAGAAACATATCAAGAAAGTATCCAATACCATTAAATTCAACTTGCAAAATGTTAAACAAATCAGACCCTTCTTAACTGTCAATGCTGCAAAGTCATACCTCCACTGTATGATTCTATCCCACATTGAATACTGTTTTACAAACTGGTAGTTTCAAGCCTGAAACCCATAGAACAGCTGTACAAGAGAGCTATCAAGGTGTTTGACAGAAAGCCAAATTCATACCACCACTGTACCATCCTTGATAAACACAATTTCTTGAGTTTTGACAATTGTAAGTCTTTTAAAAGTATGTGCTTTATTTATAAATGTTTACATGGACTGCCCCCCCCCCCCCTCCCTTAGGGGAATTCATCCACAAAAAACACACTGGACGCTGCACTAGGTCAGACACCAGAGGAGACTGTGAAGTCTGCCGTAGACGGACCACTTTTGGACAAAATGTCCTCTCCATTAAAGGCAGCTCATTGTGGAATAGCCTCCCAACTGAGATACGGGATTGTCCCACTCTCAATAGCTTCAAAGGTCAACTCAAAGAATGGTTGAGAAACAAACAGATGTGCAATCACCGCTAAATGCACTTTAACACAGGGGTATCGCCTCTTGCACTTTATGTAGCTCTTTTATCTTCTCTTGCACTCTAGAATAGAATAGAATAGAATATATCTTTATTGTCATCACACATCAGTGCAACGAAATTCAGTTGGCATCTCTCAATGCAATACATAACATAAATAAGAACACATCCATAAAAACAGTGATAAAGCAGAGATAGTAGCAATCATAATCAGGGTCATCATATGCACTTTACCAGAATGTTAAAATATATAAAGCTACAATGTTTAATATTATATTTAATATTTCTATATGTCGTTGCTGCTATTGTACGGCCATGTGGTAAATACTTGTGTATGCTGCTCTTGCTCTTTTGCATATCATGTATTTATTTGTTGCTTTATAAATGTCATGTTCTTATATGTTGTATGTCAGATGGAAATTAGCTCAAAGCTCAAATCTGGCATATTTACACTTGAAGCATTATTCATCTTCAGTATTCATTAATGTGCATTTTCCCTATTAAAAAAAATGAAATGGACCACTGAATAACTCAAAAACATTATTTAGCTAAAGTATATGGCTCACCAGATGTGAGTACATTTCCTTTAAAAGGCTAGTCGTTGACTCACATTGCCTCAGGAATCCTCTGATGAGAGAAACATGGTAATTTCATTAATATTTGAGTTTTAAAAAGTACTGAGTTACTCACTACTTGAAACATTTCCCCCCAAGCTGAATAGTTTTTTGTGCGAAATCAGAGAGGCAGGAGAGAGAATAATAATGTGAGAATACCATTAAACTGTTTCTTACCATATTTGTTATGAGGTTTGCGAGGATTTTCTTTAACATCAAAGGGCTAGCAGGGAGGCAGATGACATACATGTCAGTCGATCCATCTGGTGTGTCTGCCGAGTCTTCCTCATCCCCTTATACCATCAAAACACATAGCACTTTTCCACCCTATCCATCAGAACCTCCCTCCTTACAGCAGCAAGACACACACATTTGCAAGTTAAGTTTATTTGTTCAGCCTTCTTAATCACAGTCAAAGTCTCGAAGGACTTCCCAACGCCTACATTATGGGAACAATGAATGCATACGGTGACCCCTTCAACCTTAAGACTCTTATTGAGCAAGTAAAACACCCACTAAATACTCAGTCTGCAACGTGAGTAGACGTGCGCGAGAGAGCATTGTCTGTGTGTTTATGTGTATACAGTATGAGTGAGAGAGAATTGCCAGATCTCATTAAAAGCTGTTGTCTGTTTACATGCGATAACATTTTACAGTAGGCAAAACGCAATGGTGGGGTCCTATTGTTTCAGCCGAGCAGTCACGTCAATACCGTTAAAAAGTCGATTTGATAAAGGAGAGAATGAAGAAAGATGAAACAAAGAAAAGAAAAGAAAAGAACTGTACAGAAGCAAAGAATCAAGTATTGTGCTGACTCCACAGGTAAAGGGGCCATATTCTAGTCATGCATTGAAAACGGGCAAATGCAGATTTCTTTGGCACAAACAAAGTATAAGATGAGCATGCAGACACGATGCAAAGAGAGGAGTGAAAGAGGGACCAGACAGGAGATCCATCCAAATGAGATCCTGAGAAACAACCTCTGCTTTACCTGCCTGCAAGATGCTGAAAGTCAGTGCGAAGTAAAATAATGTATATGTTTGGGAAAGCTCAATTTACTATAAGCTCGTAAATCTTTACTTAAACAATAGGAAATTATCCTAGTATCATTTAAAAGTGCATGTAAATGTTCCGGCTTTTCTGGTCTTTGGCTGTTTTGGTAATTTGGGAAACAATCCCAACATTTTAGCTAATTACATCCAGTGGTTTTGTTTAATGGTCTCGTCACTGATATCACTTTATTAGTTTCGAAAGAGCAACAATGGACTGAATAAGTGCCTTAAAAACTCAATTTATTTCCAGGAGCTGCAGTTCGAGAATAGTCAATTAACACAATTAATGTGAGTCATTTATCCAGCCTATAATAAGAGGTTTGTGGGGAAACGCTTAAAAAAATGAAAGAGGTGTTATCCACCCTTTGATTTATATTCATGATGAGTATTTTATCACAGTGTTAAAGGGTTACATTGAGAAAAAAGGGTTATGACTTAAATGGCATTGTGATTCAGGTAGTCCGATTTTCTCATCTTACTGATTTTGCCTCTAAGTTATGGCCTCACTCTTTTGGTCAAAAAGTCTGACCCTGACCTGATACTGGTAAAAGCACAACTCGTTGTTTATACATTTCTCTTTGTGTACAACTAAAAAAATACAATCATATTGGATCCTTTCTGAGCTTTAAAAGTACTTTTTAACGTTTAACAGACAGGCAAGCTGAGTCCCACTGCTTTCAGTCTTACTAAGCCAAGCTAGTTGGGTCCTACATTTTGCCACAGCAAAATAATATATAATGATATTCTTTGTGCTATTTCCGAGAATGACAATAAAGGGGTGCTTTGTTCACTTCCTTTTACATCAGCATTGAAATGACTTGTGACAGACTTTTTTTTATTCCTGTGGATTTTCATCAATAAACCCACTGAGGCAATTCTACCATCTTAACACTAAAAACACATTTACTACCTGATGTGCATTGTTATTGTTTATGTGAGGATGCATTATCCCTATAACCGATTTTAGAGTTATGATCCATGTGAGTTATGATCAGTACTGTGAAATATCATGCATTTGCTGTTGCTCATGATATTGATGTCTCTTAAACTATTTGATATACAGATTAGACTGTGTAATCCATCACATCTCGTCATACAAAGTTGTATAGCCCCAGGCAGATTGGTAGTGCTGTATGCGACTGGGTTGGTATGCCATATATTTTCACGGCAGCTCCAATTACAAATTCCTATTACCATAAATCTTACTAGACCTACAGCCGGTGGGATGCCATATGGGAGTGAGATGCCACAATACGCCAAAATCAAATCCTAAACAACTGGATGAAGTGTAGTGGCCGCTGGGTTTTTTTAATCCTAACTTTAATCTAGATTACATCCACATCTGGCATGTCCCTGCATGCTTCCACATCATTGTTGGACCCCAAGCAGTGACCACTTTTCTCAGAAAAGGGAGAATGATCCGACCACTTGGGAAGGAAATTGAGAGGATGAGACGACCTGTTTATCCCAGGATTCCATAACTAAGATTTGTAGCCAGGCTCCTTGCCAGGGTGGTGTGACAAGGAAGTGATGTAAGAAGCGGATTGTCAGAGAACGTTTGTTCACAGAGTATTTATCTGTCGGTTTGGCTGGCACAGCTGTTTCTCTCTCTTCTTCTCTCAGAAAGATTCAGCGACAGGACTCTGACTGAGCATCCCGAACTAGCCAAGGAGATTATACTTTCATACTCAGAACCAACCAAAAAACTGCAGCCCAGAAAATGGATTACTAGGAGAGCTTTTATTTGGAGCGATGCAAAGTACAAGTCATGGTAGTTAGCGCTCATTCTCTCTCTCACTCATACTCTTTCTCCCCACCACAAACACTTTTCTTTCTCTTCATGCTTTCACTTCCTCATCTGATTAAAAAAACAAACAAGTTGGATCATACTTCTATAATATTTGCACACAGTTATCCTGGAAGTCAAAGAAGAGTAGGGAGAAACCGTCATCTCTGAGTCCAAGCATCCAAACATACAGTACTTAAGAAAGATAGTGATGGATATCATATATCATATATATGGGCCAAACTATATGTTTGCTTATATTTCTTCTCAGAACATGAATTTTAAGCTTATTAAAAAATAAACTTAGGAGGAGTACTTCTTTGAATTCATGACAGTAAAGTAGAGTGTTCAGTATGAGATACTTTTCCAGGGCATACTGTAGGCAACTTATTTTAAATAATTGAATGAGAATGAAACTAAGGAGTTGCAGTTGGGTTTCTAAGTATTTTCACAGTGGAAGGAAAAGCAACTTTGGATTGAATATTGCATGTTCATGGAGGCAGCGGGTTACTAATATTGCTGCAGAGGCTTTCCGGTCAAACAAACTGGACCGTCCAAGTTAAAGGGTTTTAAGTCTATCAGTTTCCGTGCAGTCTACAATGTGCACATTTGAGCTCCTTACCAGCAGACCAAAGAGCAAAAGAAAGGCTGTCTGTTTAATCTCCCTTAACCAATACAATGTATATCTTCTTATCTATCCTTTGGAGCAAAAGTCATTTGCAGTTCTTTTTGTGTGCAACACAGAGATTAGTGGGCTGGTATCTTCTTGGAAGTTTAGGATTGAGTCAGTTAGTGTGAGTTCTGTTCAGAAAGCTGCTGCTGGCAGGCTGTGGTTGTTATTTCCTGCAGCGTCACCACCTTTCCCTAACAGAGTGAGGGGCTCCAGTGAGTGCACACTCTCCTTGTCTGGATGTAACCCCAGCCCAGGTGGAGTAGGGTTCTCCTTCCATTCACCCCCTCCTGCCTCCTGCTGTTCCCCTGAGGCAGCAGCAGCAGCAGCCGCAGCAGCCGCAGCGGCCGCGCACTCCTCTTTGAACAACCGGTCGTGCTCCATTTTCAGCTCTTGGTAGGAGCGGGAGAACATGTGGAAGATGGAGGTAGCAGGAAAGGCCATAATGAGGATGCCACTGAGGATGCTGCTCAGCGCTACAACCTGTCCTGGAATAGACCTGGGGACCATGTCGCCGTAGCCCACTGTCGTCATAGAGATGATGGCCCACCAGTAGGAGGCAGGGATGCTGCTGAAGTCATGGGTGCCTGTGAGTTCGCTCTCAGCAAAGTGGACCAGCGGGGAGAAGAGGGTGACGCCCACGCAGAGAAAAAGCAAGAGGAGGCCAAACTCACGGGTGCTGCGCCTGACCGTCAGCCCCAGCGTCTGCAGGCCGAGGGAGTGACGAGCCAGCCGCATTACGTAGAGAATCCTCAGCGCCCGCAGGATTCTCAACACAAGGCCCAGCTTGTCCAAGTAACCCTTACCTCCTCCAGGCCTCTCGTGGTCCAGGTTGGGGTCCTCCTCCGTCACCACCAGGGAGACGTAGTAGGGAAGGATGGCCATGGCGTCGATGATGTTGAGCGGCCCGCGGAGGAAGTCCAGCTTGCTGGGGGCCTGGATGAAGCGCAGGCAGAATTCCAGGGAGAACCAGGCCACACACACCGTCTCTATGATGAACATGTTGTAGCACTTAGACGAACACTCACCCTGAGGTAGAGAGAGTGAGGAGAAAGAGGGAAAGCGAGAGACAGAGAGATTGAGGATGAGAGATGGAGTTTGACAGGGGGCAAGACAGATCGGGTGAGATGGAGAGAAGACAAAAATCCTGAGGTCAGATAATCACCCTTTGTAATCATTCATAAATCATGAGTTACAGACACTCAGTTGGATGAAGCTACTGCAGCAGCACAGACAGATAATGCACTGACACTATAAATCAATTATTTCATTAGGGCAGGTTTCAAAGACTAATGTGACACTTTGTGGGAACCGTGACAGAAAGCAATCAGGTTTGCATGCCCTCTAACTACAATATCAAGGAAAAGCAACGCAACATTTGTGTCAATATACAAAAGAGATTTAGGAGCTGAAAAGTTTGCTGTAAACATAATTATTTTTTTGACAAATTAGGCCTTTATTCCACCTCACATTTCAAATCTTGCTGCAATCACCGAATGTATTATTGAGTCTTTTTCATACTTAAGAAAAAAGATTGAATTTCTATAAAGCAGTAACTATTACTGGAGACTAGCACTGAAGCAAATACAAAGTGCTTTAATAGACATTTTCACAAATAATTACACCCAAGAAAACTCAGTGGGGAAAAATCCTTCAGAAAACAAAATGTATTCCAAAACTTGTTGTATAATATAATTCTTCTTTTGTGTATTGTTGTCAATATTTAATTGGGTTGCCATTAAAGGAACACTCAGGCTTAGAAAGGACTTGACAAAATGTTTACAGAATTTAACTTAATCTCTTAAGGCCTGGTTGTGCTTGAAATAAACTAGTTTGCCACACAACTCAAATAGCTTATAGCTGTTTCAAAAAGCAATATGGAAACGATGGTCTAAAACTTTTATCATAGAGAAGGAGGTCTGAGGTTCAGTTTCCTCCAAATGTAACAACATTTTATTCCCACTTGTCTCCAGAATAACACATATAAGCTTTTATAATATGATGCCGCGACATGAGAGTGCACTAAGGACAAATCATTTAAATCGTTGGGGTTGTAGGGTAACATTGTGGTTTGGTAAAAAATGAATTTTCTTGTTGTGTTAAAAATGATAATTACTTGGCTAAGGCTGATGACTAGTTGCGGACATGGTTAACAGAACCCAGCACTGACTGACGATTAATAGAAGTTCAGTGCAAAAACTAAGATCAGTTGTGTCCAGATACTAGTGTCAGGTCGGCCCCGTCCACTTTCATCTTCCCCTCTTTTGATTCTGATATAGAGGGGTCATAATTGTCAGATCTGCTGGGGGTCTTTATCACTCAGAGCAGGGGTGTCAAACTCAATTTCATCGCGGGCCACATCAGCATTATGGTTGCACTCAAAGGGCAGGTTGTGACTTTAAGATTATATAAATATACATATATAAATATATTATATATATAAAATAATGTATTATACATGATTGCCTCTGCATTGGATTATTATCGGATAAGGTAATAACTTAATAATTAACTACGTCTGAAAGCAGAAGTCTAGGGAAAATAATTGCAAATGAGATGCATTGTGGGACATGTAGTTTATGGACAACGTGCTTCTGTAAAGCGGCATGTAACCGTATAATAAACGTATTATATTCTTTGCAAGCTCTCGCGGGCCGGTTTTGAGTTTGAGTTTGACACCCCTGACTTAGAGGTATTTCATTATTGCTTAAAGAACTGATGCTGTAATTTTTCTTGGTTAGAACCTCATTTCAGTCAACACCCAGTACATGTGCATGCATTTCTCTCAGTCGTATCAAGAATGTTTTTACATATTATTCCTCTAAAAATGAATATGAGACCAGATGCCTTGATGTATCATTAAGATGAACATTATTCAAGTTTGATTTAGGGCTTCTTCTTTCATTATCTAGCTTCTCCCCATTTCCTCATCGTTCACTCTTCCTTTATCTCTAAGACACTGCCACTCATCTATTTTCCATTCTTATCTATTCTCTCTCCTCCAACCCTTCTTTTCCACTTCCTGCCTCTGTCTCCACCTTCTCATCACTCATTCTGTTTCCTCCTTCATCACCCTCCCTGAACTCCTTCCCTCTCATCCTTCATTTTCTACTTGGCCCCCACCCTGCTCTCTTTCTACTTGAATTCCTTCATTCAGCCAGCGTTCCTCTAAGTGAAACACATCCCCCTCCATTGTCCCTCTATGCATGATGCATCCTTCACACACGTGTCCTATTCCTCACGCTCTCATTTATCACCCGTGTCCTCTCTGACTTCCTCACTGACTCTCCTCCCAGTGTGACTCTTAGCCTTCACTTCATTCCTACGGATTGATGTGTATCTGCGTTATTTATAGGGTTGCAGAGTATATGCTCTCCTTTTATTAAGTTAGATTTGACATTTACTGTAGACTTTAGAAGATTAAGAACATTTTCTTTTTTAAATAAATTGCTTTTTTCCACTGTTTGCGAGTTTAAGGTGATGCCGGTAGTAGTGATAATAGCAGAAGTACTGGGCTGTCTATACTCTGCATCCATATTTACAGTATTAAAACTGCACTGGTCATGGCAGCATCTTTTATAGCCCATTATAGACTCTGCCAAAATCATTACTGCTATTAAAGAAGCCTGGTTGGTTTGTTTACTTTCACACCACAAACAAACCCAAACAGAGTCCGCTTGAAAGCAAAACCGACCTTTTGGGGCACCCTCGTTTCTTTTGTGTGGTCCGCAACAGAGTTTTTTTTTAAGTGAGGCGAACAGGTCAGGGTAAAAAGCACCGTTAATTCTGTTTTGCAATCCACCAACTCTTGAAGAAACTATCTCGCTCTAAAGATGCTGAAAGCTCCACTCAGTCAACAGTGGGTTATTAACTTTGTAAGATTGCCGGTTCTGAGGGTTTAGAGGTTTTTTCAGAACTTTTGTGCTACAAAACATTGACCTTTATATATATATCAAAATAATATACCCTAATAACAAACCATGGGTGACCAAGGCGGTTAAGTCCAGCATTCAGAAAAAGAAACAAGCTTTTAAACAGGGAAGTGCCTCTGATCTTGATGCTAATAGGGAACTTAAAATAGAAATTCTGAAAGCTAAACAGAATTTTAAATCTGAACTACAAAACAAAATGGCTGCAAACAACCTTGGCTCAGTCTGGAGTAGCATGAAAACCATAACAGGCCTCCGGGAAACAAATAATAGCTGCCATGTGACTCTGGATGGCTTTAATTCAGATGTTGAGTTTGCAAATGCCCTAAATCACTTTTTTTGGTAGTCCCTGTTCCCAAATCCAGAGGCCCCAAAACTCTTAACGATTTTAGACCAGTTGCACTTACATCAATTCTAATGAAGACATTGGAAAAACTAGTCAGAGCAGAAATCTTACAGGCCACACAGAGGAGTGGAGGATGCCACGGTCACCTTATCTGACTTACTTTTTAAACACTTGGAGGGAATTGGATCTCATGCTAGACTTTTATTTGTTGATTTTTCCTCTGCTTTTAACACAATTCAACCTCATATTCTAATTGGCAGACTTTTAGAACAATTTTAAATAAGCAATAATCTTATGGGCTGGATTCTTGATTTTTTAACCAATAGGACACAAAGAGTGAGGGTGAATGGGACCTTATCTGATCAAGTCAGTTCCTCCACTGGCTCCCCACAAGGATGTGTCCTTTCACCACTATTATTTATACTTTACACTAATATGTGTCAAAGTAGGTGGGAAAATAGGACTATTTTAAAGTATGCAGATGACTCTGTAATTGTTAGTAGGCTCCAGGACAATGCATCAGCCACGGCCCTGTCATTGACAACTTTGTCAGGAGATGTGAGGAGTCCTATTTACAACTGAACATAAGCAAAACCAAGGACATGATCATTGATTTTAGAATACATCCCCACATACATGAAGTCTTAACAATCCAGAATCAGAAAGTAGAATTTGTGCAATCATACAAATATCTCGGGACAATTATTGACTCAAAATTGAGCTCTGATCAAAACTGTGAAGCTGTGTGCAAAAGGGGGCACCAGCGTTTGTACTGTCTTAGGAAATTGTCCTATTTTAACATTGACAAAACCATGATGATTATGTTTTATCGTGCTTTTATCGAGTCAATTCTGTCTTTTTCACTAATGTCATGGTTTGGGAACCTGACTTTAAAGAGCAGACACTCTCTGAGTCAGATCATAAAGTGGTCCAGCAGACTGATTGGTGAGCCACAGCTAAACCTGGAGACCCTGTACCTCAGGCAGTTACAGCGGTTATCCAGCTCCATATTAGACGATGACTCCCACCCTCTGCACTCAGAATTCAAGCTTCTTCCTTCGGGCCGGAGGTTACTTGTCCCAAGGAGCTATTGCACAAATTAACACATCATAGGAGCGTCACACAGATGCCTATTTTTATTTATTTATTTAATTGTGAATTTTTAATGTCCATGTTTGTACTAGTGTTTTCCTTCTTAAAATGTTTTTTAAAATATTTTGAGATTTGGTTGAGCAGGGTATACTTGTACTTTTATAGTCTTATGTGTCTGTGGTTTGTGTTTGTTTTTAGTGTCAGGATGGAACCCTTGTCTTTTTCTCTGCAAACAGAATCTACCTACGGGTACAAATAAATAACCTGAACCTGAACCTGAACCTGAACCTTCTCCATCTTGAAACAGTTTTTATGAAAGCATGAAGATTTATATGATTTTTAGTTAAATATTCAAACCCAAGGCCCCTGGTTCTATATCTATACAATCCATCTCCCGAAAATATTTAGTTATGTGCATCATTTTTTTCACATTTTCTAATTAGTCTGCCTTGCATATGCAACACTTTGGATCTTCATTAGTATTTCAATTTGGAATATACTCTGCTAAACAGCAAGTCTTTGTATTGACTGGAACACAACATAAAAGCTAATGTACATGTCTCAAATGTGGCTACCATTTTGCATAATAATATTCCAAGTGGCTTTTTATGACCAAACAAAAAAGCCTTCTGGTAATATTAAAAGGTCAATTAAAGTGCACT